ACCTCGGCCTTGGATCACGCACTGTCCTGTCCCACCACCTCCTCACCTCCCCAGGTCGGTTCTCGGCTGCCCACTCCACCACCCCCAGCACCCTAGTCCCCACCGCTCTCCTCCTCCCCTCTCCCGTCTCCACAATCACTGCCACCCTCTGCTGTCTACAGGGGTCTGGATGTGGGTTCTGGCAGAGGTGGGGCTGTGTGCCCCGAGGTATGTTGAGGCCGCTGTCCCCTCCCCATGCTGGTGGCACCATGGCCTGTTGGGTGGGTGGCCGCCAGGGGCCAGGATACCATGGAGGTGATTTCCTCACCCAGCCTCAATCCTGGCACCCAGCCCACGCCGGCGCCCATCCCACCGGGAAGCCGCAATCCACGTGGAGACAGCCCGTCTGCTGTGGGCTGGGGCAGCTGGGCCACGGGAAGGGAAGCCGCCTGGCTCGAGGTCCTCAGGCCCACCCCAGGCCAGGTAACACCCCCTCTCCCTCCCTGAAATCACGTGTGAAATCCCTTCCGAAGACAGAGGAGACTGGAGGTCTGCTGGATGCAGTGCCCTTGGCTGCATGCTTAGTTATTGTTGCTGTTTGTCTGTTCTGACTCCTGGCGACCCCATGTGTGCACAGCAGGACTGCTCCATACGGTTTTCAAGGCTGTGACCTTTCAGAAGCAGATGGCCAGGCCTGTCTTCCGAGGTGCCTCTGGGTGGGTGCAAACTGCCAACCTTTCGGCTAGCAGTCGAGCACTTAACTGTCTGTGCCACCCAACTGCCTTATAAATGCAAATATCTGAACGAACTGGTTATTCGTTAGACAGGGCAGGAGGGGAAACTGGTGGCTGTTAACCAGAGCAAGCACACGTGTGCTGAGGCTCCAGGTGCCTGTGGAGGTCTGCATTCACCCACGCCCCGGGGAGCTCTCCGTGCCTTGGGGACCTTCTCCTCCTCCTTCCAACCTCCCCGAGTGCTTGTCTCTTCTAGCCGTGGGCAGGCATCCTCCAGGAACGAGGCACAGAACACCAACTGTCTAATGCCGGTGATCCTGCATACAAGTTAAATCTGCCGATATCTGCATTTAAAACAGGCATCGCGTAAGATAAAGATGAGCAGTAAAATTCATACTAGTAATTTAAAATTTTAATCTTTCTTTACTTAGAATGAAATTAAAGAGAAAATTTAAACACCATGACAAGTCTAGAGAAAGACCACAGAAGAAAGGAAAATGGTTTATATTTTTGTTCCTTTAACACTTTCTTGCTTTTTGGGCAAGGGGTCCCATATTTTCATTTCGCATTCTGCAAATCACATAGTCCTTAAGTAAATTAAGCAACTAACCAATGGAAGTCCCTGGGTGGTGCAAACAGCTAATATAAGATAGATAAGACAGTAGTGTCATGGACTGAATTGTGTCCCCCAAAAATATCTGTCAACTTGGCTAAGTCGTGATTCCCAGTATTGTATGATTGTGTACCATTTTGTAAACTGATGTGATTTTCCTATGTGTTGTATATTCTATCACTATGATATAATAAGATGGATTAGTGGCAGTTATATTGATGAGATCTACAATATTAGGTTGTGTGTTAAGCCAATCTCTTTTGAGATATAAGAGAAGCAAGCAAAGAGGCAGGGGGACCTCCCACCACCAAGAAAGCAGTGCCGGGAGCAGAGCATGTCCTTTGGACCTGAGCTTCCTGTGCTGAGAAGCTCTCAGACCAAGGCAAGACTGATGACAAGGACCTTCCTCCAGAACCGACAGAGAGAGAAAGCCTTCCCCTGGAGCTGACGCCCTGAATTTGCACTTGTAGCCTCCCGGACTGTGAGGGAATACACTTCTCTTTGTTAAAGCCGCCCACTTGCGGTATTTCTGTCAGAGCAGCACTAGATGACCAAGACAGAACTCATCTTCCTTTCAGTTTTAAATCCTAAACTCTTCCGCGTCGGGGGCGGTGTGGGATACTCCAGGCGGCCCCAGTCCCTGCTCCCACTCTCATCCATCAGCACTGTGGGCCCTGTGCTTTCAGGCATGGTGACGGCCACTATGCGCAGGTGTGGAGGGACCAGGTGTGCACCCTGCTGCTCTCTCATCCAGACGCCGCAGGGCTGGGAGGTTCGGGGAAGGACACCGGAACGGGGTGGAGAAGATGAGAGGGCTGTCTCCTCCGCTGCCCAGCGACACTAGGTCACTCTGCCCCCGAGGGCTCCCAGTCTCTACCTGCACCATGAATGCCTAGCTTGCGTTCTTCCTAGCCAAGCCCTGGCAGCTCTCCCACCTGAAGGTCCACACACCTGGCTGGCACCGAGGCAGCAGCAAGCCTCGCCCTTCCTCACAGAGAGGCCCAGAACTCTGCAGACAAAGCCAGAAGTAGGCTCCTGCTCCAGAAACAAGGTTCTGATTGGGGATCATCTGCGCCAGTCAGTGCGTGTGGCAGCCCTGCTGGAAGGGCTTGTCCTAAGCCTTCCTCTAGCCTAGCCTTTCTTTCTAGCCAAGCCAACGCCAACTCAAGGCGACCCCATGCGAGTCCGAGAGAACTGTGTTCTATAGAGCTTTCAATGGCTGATTTTTCAGGAGATCACCAAGACTTTCTTCTGAGGTGCCTCTGGGTGGACTTGAACTGCCAACTTTTCAGTTAGCAGCCAAGCGTTTTAATGGTTTGTACCAGCCAGGGACTCTGGCCCAGCCTTACTCGCCCACTAATAATCAGCCACAGCTCGAGTCCCACACCATCCTTCCAATTATTCAAAAAGGGGAGGGACTGGGAAGTCTGGGCTTCCATAAGGAGATCACACTGCTTTGTTATTTTGCTGTGTGTGTTTTCCCAAATCTTGAGAAAGTTTAATCTTTGTCATTTAGATAAATCAGATAGGCATTACCAGGTGACGAACGGCTCTGCAACTGATTACAAAAACAGCAGTTATTAAGTTCTAACTGAGTAATTTGCAGCTTATTTCACCCTGGCTAATTAAAACGTAATCAGCAGGGTTTGGCAATGTGGGTTCTGTCAGCAGTTTTTCTTGGGAGGAGAAAGGATGCCAAGAAACCACAAGAAAAGCCTTTCATGGGAACTGGCTTGATCTAACTGCTTCTTTAGTCCCTGAAACTGTAAAACAAATACATTACAGCAACTGACAATTCAATATATATTAAGAAAAAAAAGATACTCTTCCTCTCCGGGGATCGGCCGCTTTGCTTTGTTTTCTGTTGCTGTTTCAACAACAGCGCAGCATCTTTTAGGAGCGTAGCTTTCAGGGCAGACAATCTGAGACCAGGTGCCTTGGATGAGCGGTCTCTTGGAGGCCCCCCTCATTTCACCCAGAGAGGCGCTGAAGCCCAGCAGGACCACAGAGCTCGGTAGCTTCTCTGAAACCTACTAGACTTTGCTTCTTTGACTTCTTGTCCTTTAGGTGCTGTGGAGTCGGCTTTCCACTCATTTTGACGCATTAGCGACCCCATGTGACAGAGTACAACTGCCCCATGGCGTTTTCTAGGCTGTAATCGTTACTGGAGCGGATCGCCAGGTCTTTCTCCGGCGGAGCCGCTGGGTGGGTTCGAACCGCCAGCCTTTCAGTTAACAGCTGACCACTTAACTGTTGAGCCACCACGCTCCTCCTTCTTTGACTGAGAACACAAAACCGCACACTCTCGCACGCGTTGGTTCGATCTCCATAACATCCCAACTTTAAGGCCTCTTGAGCCGCTGGAGAGAGGTTTTTCATTCGCTCGCACACAAGCCAGAACCTTCCTAATGGCTACGCAGACCGCCCCAGACCACCCCCGATATTAAAGCGCCTCCTGGGTCAGCCCAATCCCCGGGGCCCAGCGGGAGGCCGCTTTACCCGCCCCGGAGGGTGGACGCAGGTCATTCCTAAGGGCAGAGGACTCGGCCTCCAAACCCCCACCCCCACCACGCGCCGGGAGCTCCAGGGCTCCTCCTGGGGGTGCAGTGTCCCCTGAGGCGAGAAGCTGCGATCTTGGAACAGGTGGGCAGCCTAGGGGAGAGGCGAGAGGGCACGGGAGAGACAGTGAAGGCAGGCGAGAGAACTAAGGCGTCGGAGGAAAAGATTCCAAAGCTCGCGCGCTCCAACCCGCTGGGAAAGGCAGCTGCGGGGCACAAGACGACCTATTCCCGGCGCCGCTCCGGTGAGCCCACCCGCACTTGGGTCTCCGCCCAAGTCTCGCTGGGTCCTCGCCCCGGCGGCCACCCGCAAGACCCTGGCAAAACACGGTCATCGATCGTGGTGGTCCCTGAGCGCCCCCGCCCCCCCCCCACACACACCGCCTCCACCCTCAAGCTGAAAGCACCTCGGTGTGCGGGGCGAGAATGACCCTGAAACACCCAGACATGCCATCCTGTGCCCCGATCCTAGGCAACCCTCCCTCTGCGCCCCACGCAATTCAGAAGTAACTAGACCTTGAAGCTATGGGGTTCAGGAGTGGGGCGCGCACAGACACCCCCACAACACACACAACGTGGCCCAAGCGCCCTCCTGGGGGGCTCGCAGAGGGCGCAGCGAGCTCGGGGTAGCAGAGCCGGAAAACCCTCGCCCCGGAGAGACAACAGTGCCGCCCGCGGGCACCATCAGGGCTGGGCAGGTCGTGGTCCCCGGGCGCACGGGCGCGCCACCCTGCCTCGCCGCCCGGGAAAACGCGTAAACTCTTACGCCCACCCTGGAAATCATGACACTGTCCCCTCCCCAAGGACACCGCCCTCCGTTTTCCGCGGGGCAGGAGGCAGGGAGTCGCGAACAGATGCTGCCGGTTGCTTTGCGCTCGGGCGCAGGAGGCTGGAAGGAGGGTCCCGCGCTCGGGTTTGAAAATCCACGCCAAGAAAGCGGGGTCTGCGGCTGGGAGGGCGGGAACTTGGGGCGCCTCGGCGGGAGACGCGACTCAATGCGCCTCCCGCGGGCTCTGGGGTGCCCGGAGTCCTCGGCGGGCGAGAAATTGGGGCGCCATGGCCGGGAGCGCGGCCCGGTGCGCCCCCGCGGGTGCCAGGGTGCCCGGGTCCCGGTACCTGGAAGTGCTGGAAGAAGGCGGAGATGCGCGTGATCTGCAGGCTGAGGCACCTGGAGGCACAGCGGGCGCGCTGGATGCTGCCGGCCGCCAGCGACTCGTCCAGGCGCCGCGCCGCCAGGCAGCCCCCGGCGGCCAGCCAGAGGCACAGGGTCAGGGCGGCGCCGGGCGCGCTGGGCTCCATGGCTGCGGGCGGGCTCCGGGCTCGGCGGCCACTCTCCGGGACCGCGCGGCCGCAACTCGGCGGAAAGTTCAATCAGCTCCTCGAGCCCGCGCCGCTCCGCGCCTCGGGGGTGGGGTGAGGGTGACAGGCGGCCGCGCATTGGCTGGAGGGACTGTGAGTGACAGGGCCAGGGGTGGGCGGTGGGCAGGTCTAGGGGCTCCGGGGGCCGCCTCCCCGCGGGCTCCCCACGGCCCGCAGCCCTCCCTTTTCAGGAGGACGTCCGCTCCGCCCGGTCCTCAGGTGTGACCGTGGCCTGGGTAAGCGGTGTCCCCTCCTGGCCGAGGGCGGGTGGAGTGGCAGGAGGGCCTGGGGGCCCCTGGGCGTTAGAACCGCCAAAGGGACGGCGGAGCGCCCGGAGCTGTCTGCTTACTGCCCGGCCGGCTTCTTCACGCTTTCTCGTAGCGCAATTCCACTGTCCTCAAATCCTGGGAAAGCGCGAAGGACGAGAATGAAATGCATACAAGACGTGCCGAGAGGGGCACAGGGGCATTTGACTGACACCTCCCCTCCTTCCCTCCCTCCCTTCTTCCCTCCCTTCTTCCCTCCTTTCATTCCTACCCTCCTTCCTTCCTCCTTCCCTCCCTTCCTTCTTACATTCCTCTTTTCCTCCCTTCCTTCCTTCCTTCCTTCCTTCCTGCCCCTCTTTCTCTCCCTCCCTCCCTCCCTATCACCACCTGGGAAACAATCCGAGTAAAAAGCTAGTTGACATTTGTTCAATAGACACACCCACCTGGTCTACTCGGGTGTCTGTTTTTCTAGTGAGCGCCACACCCCCAGGGTGAATGAATTACTGAAAACAATTCTTTCTTACACTTTTTCTCCTCCTCACACCCCCTGTACTTCCCCCAAGCCTCCTAATTCAACCTTTTTAGCTCTGGAATCGCTCCCTCCTCTCCTGCAAACCTTTTCCAATTCGCTTCCACCCCACGTGTCCTCTCTCCCCTGCCGGGGTCATGCCCTAGAAAGAGACGCAGCCTTTGTAACACACAGCTTTAGATGGCTGCCCCTGGGGGCCATGGCAAACATCAGTGCTTCCAGCCCCCTGGCAGGCAGGAGAAGCCCCTGCCCCCAGAGCGCTGGGATGAGATCTGAAAGGCTGTGCTTGGGGTGGGGATACTGATATGACTCAATCAGGTAAAAAAAAGAGAGAGACTAGTGCTCACTCTCACTTTCAAACGCAGGACACGTGATAGCCACCTGCGTGTTGTCATACAGAATGCTACTTGACGTTCTGAAACACAGTGTCTCAGTGAGCACACAGACAAGTACAGCTACACGCGTCTATGCGTAAACCTGCTACGACACATCTCAAGGCTTGGATCCCCTCTGCACAGAGCCCGACACATCTCAAGGCTTGGATCCCCTCTGCACAGAGCCCGACACATCTCAAGGCTTGGATCCCCTCTGCACAGAGCCCGACACATCTCAAGGCTTGGATCCCCTCTGCACAGAGCCCGACACATCTCAAGGCTTGGATCCCCTCTGCACAGAGCCCGACACATCTCAAGGCTTGGATCCCCTCTGCACAGAGCCCGACACATCTCAAGGCTTGGATCCCCTCTGCATAGAGCCCGTGGAGCTGCCAGTTACAATGTCCAACCGTGCCCCCCACCTCCGATTCTCTTGCATATCCTTCACTCTGTGAGTTGGAGATCTTTCTGTTAACAAATTACAATGACAACCATCTGTAGTTATTCCATTATCTCTGCGACCCTCTTTTCAAGCACATCCTCTGACATGTATATTTCTTCACAGAGTTTAAATCAGCGAGGCCAATAGAATGAATTGCATGCTGTCTTTTTCTATGAATTCCAAAATCACAGAGTTGTTTTGTTAAACAGGGTCTGTAGACAGGGCTGAGTCGGGGCGGGGGGAGGGGTGCAAATGGTAAACGTGCTCAACTGCTAACCGAAAGGCTGGAGGTTCCAGTCCACCTAGAAGTGCCTCGGAAGAAAGGCCTGGTGATCTACTTCCCAAAACTGAGCCACTGAAAATTCCATGGAGCACAGTTCTATTCTGACATGCACGAGGTGGCCAGTAGCAGGGCTGGCTTCATGGGCATGTGGCCTGTGCAGTCCTACATGACTCCACGCTCAGAAGCACCCACAGTTGGTTGAACGCTCTGCAGTCGCCATCTTGAAATGCTTAATACTTGTTGAACACGCTTCCCTGAATTTTCATTTTGCACTGGCTGTTCGTTAGCTGCTGTCAAGTCGATTCCGATTCATGGTGGTCCCACGTGTGCAGAGTAGAACTGCTCTATAGGATGTTCAAGGCTGTGACCTTTGGGAAGGAGATGGCCAGCCCTGTCTCCCAAGGCACCTCTGGTTGGATCTGAACTTCCAACTTTTCAGTTAGCAAGGAGTGTGTTAATCGTTTGCGCCACCCAGGGACTCCCATTTTGCCCTGTTATTGTTGATGCTGTGGGCCATCGAGTCAATTCTGACTCATAGTGATCCTGTAGGAGAGAATAGAACTTCCCCATAGGGTTTCCAAGGCTGTAATCTTTACAGAAGCAGACTGCCACATCATTCTCCCGCGGAGCAGCTGGTGGGTTTGAACTGCCGACCTTTGCAGTTAACAGCCAAGCACTTAACCACTTCACCACCAGGGCTCCTTCCATTCTGTACTAACCAAAAACCAAACCTGTTGCTGTTGAGTCGATTCTGACTCATAGCGCCCCCACAGGACAAAGCAGAACTGCCCAGTAGGGTTTCCAAAGAGCAGCTGGTGGATTCGAACTGTCTGTCTTTTGGTTAGCAGCTGAGCTCTTAACCACTGTGCCACCAGAGCTCCACTAGGCCCACAAAATTATGTAGCTGGTCCTGTCTGTAGGTGTTAGCCATGACAATATTATACTTGAGCTGGAAACATGAAAATTTAGACCTGAGCTCTCCGAAGCCACACTGCAAATGAAAATCTTTTCAACTATGTTAAAATACTCAGTGCTTGCGATGACCAAATAGCTAGCTGTGACGGCCCCCAGCAGGTCATGCCTAAAGCCCTCGGCCCGTGGATGGAGGAGTGACTTCTGAACACACGGTGTGTCTCCCGAACGTTATCACTTTCGTTCGGGAATCACAAGCAACATTTCCAAAAACTGCAGCAGATCCTTCCACGGTGTTTGTTTTGAGTTTTAAAGCTAAGCGAGTAACTGGTCTTGGTGAAGGCAAGCGTTTACGTGTGCCTACTTTTCTTATGGTGCCTTTGACTTATAATTTTGCATGTCCTATCATGAAATTTATATTCTAGAAAGTGAAATGGTAAGGCCAAGCCTGCTGAGCTTTACGTAGCTTTCAAACATTCAAAGGGCTCACTGTATTTTGGGGGAAAAAAAGCAATGTGTGTGTTACTTACATGGGTTCCACAGCAGATCCACTTTCATGAATAAATGCATTTTATAATAAACCACAAGAGAGAACAACTCATCAGCTGAACAGAAAGTTTAGGACTACCTTATTATGCATATGTTAAAATAATACTTGGGGTTATATCGCTTTCTTCCTTTAGAATTATCGTAGACAATCTCTTTGATTATGCAGGCTTTCCTCACGCTATTTATTTTAATTGCAGTTTAAAGAAACTCTTACACATTTTAGCGAAGTCAGAATAAACAGTAGAAACGGAGCCTTTGATTCCGCTCAGCTTCTTATGCAGGTGGCCCTGGAGGTGGCCCCGTAGAAGCTAACTTTGGACATAGGTGGATAAGCCACACCTGAGCTCATGCAAACCTTGAGAGCAGCTGTATGGCAAAGGCAGGACGGATAAACAGATGGGTGGGGATCGCTCAGGTGCAGTTAGAAAGAAAGCGCTTAACAGGCCTTTCTGCAAAGTTGACTTAAACCCCATGGCCTGAACTTGTGTGGAGAAGAAACAAACCTTAACACTGACTCAGGTTGGACTTAGATGGACACATCTGTCAAGGAGAGGAGCAAAGGGGCCCATTTGACTGTTACTAATGGGTATGTGAACAAAGATACGCCAAAATGTGGGGCCATCTTGGTCAGGCTACGGAAGACGCACACAAAGGCAGGCCCTCACTCTGAGCCGCAGCTGCTAAATGTTAGTTATACTCTGCCTTGAATTATGATTATTGGTTTCCTTTTTTTTTTTTTTGAGAGCCTAACAAGCATCTGCCCCTGGATGGTGCAAACGGTTAATGCACTCACTGCTAACCAAAGGGTTGGAGGTTCCAGTCCCCAGAGGAGCCTCAGAAGAAAGGCCTAGCAATCTGCTTCCAAAAAATCAGCCATTGAAAACCCTGTGCAGCACAATTCTACCCTGGCACCCATGGAGTTGCCACGAGTCAAAGTCAACTCGATGGCAACTGGTTAAGAAGCACCTGGGAAGCTTGCTAACGGCAAATCCCAGGGTCCTCCGCGCTCAGAAATTCTGGTTCAGTGCCTCTAGGCTGTGGCTTTGAAACCTAAACCTTTAAACCAGCCCCGAGATTATACAGCCGGTCGCCGGGTTACAAATGTCCAACTTACAGACCTGTACATGTCTTTGAAGGTTATGTAAATGTGCCCTCACTTTGAAACGAGTGAACCAATCTCTACTCACAAAAAACTTCTTCATCACAATCACCTTCACTTGCTGCACACGCAGCGTTTATAGCTTCAAGCCTTTCCTTGCACTAAATAAGCTCCATGAGAACAATATGCACCTGTTTCAACCTACCTACAAATTTAACTTAAAGACTCCAGGACAGAGTTAGGAGTGGACATCCTTCATAACCCGGGGACTGCCTGTACAGCAAGTGACGCACGCACTACAGTTTAGAGGCGCTGATTTAGAAAACATGTATCTCGCTAATAAACAAAGTAGACGCTCTGATTTATATACCACCCATGACTTCACTTTCTTCAAAGTGCCTTTTCTTATGTATGTCTGTGTTGGTATGGATTGGATAGAACACTTTATTTCTTAATAATCACATTGATATATTTTGTCCAAAACAT